AGAAGGCATCTAGTGCTAGCTTTAAGCCCTTCATAAAGAAAACGCCTTCATCCACAAAGACATTTCCTTCCAGGCCACTTTCTATTTGAGGGGACCCTGAGATCTTCCACAAAGAGGAGGTGATAGCTGCATTCCAGGCAGGTGATGCGGTACTGTCATGGCATAACAAACCCAGTATTTTGGGCTCCCTTTGGGTCTGTTCAAAACCTTTCTATATCCTGGGCTTCAAGTGCCAAAAGATACAGTTTTAGATGTAGCTGCAGTGGATGAGAGCTGGGTTAGAAGCCAACTCAGCTTGGAGCTACAGTAAATCTGACTTCTGGCTGATACCTGAGCAAACAGACTCACTCATGCAAATGATCCATTTTCAGTGAAATGCTAAGCCTATTGTTGCTTAGCATTTCAAATCCATTTCAGAGGTGGGCTGGCATTTAGGCCCAGTTTTGCATTTTATTGTCCCAAGAGATTTGTGAATGAGAGGTGACATTTTTTGATTGGGCTGCAGGAGTATCTCAAGTCTCAGCAGATGGCACTATGCTCAAAGGTTGTCTCTGGACGGTGCAGAGGACGACAAGGTGTCCAAGCAAATGTAGAGGTGTTCGTATGGAGTGTAGACGCACAAGCACGTTCCTTGTTTCTGGCTGCGAGCCACAGATCCCGGTGCAAAACCTTAGCATGTCCCAAATTAGGGGACTTCCAGTCAGAAGTAAGGAAGATGTTGAAACTAAGTCATGTTCCTTTGCATGTGGGGTGGGCTCCAGGTCCTTCCAGCACAACCCTTGGGGGAAGAACCATGTCTCGTGTGTCAAGCACACCAGAGAGCAACCCCATCCATAAGGTGTCTTGTGTTTTCATACTATCTCATTTGGGCAGCACTTCCAAAAGTTCTTCTCTGACAGGGGTGTTGGACTAGATGATCCTTCCAGGTCCCTTCCAACTGCGATTCTGTGGTTCTGAGATTCTGTGAATGTCTGTTCAGTCTGTTTTGGCAAAATTCTCCACCCTCCTGTTTTGTACAAGCAACGAGCAGTCTGAGCACCAGGGCTGGTGGGACCCCTGTGGGTTACTGTCACAAATAATAGTAATAATAACATATGTTAAGTCTTAATTGACACTGCTGATTTGAATTTGTATAGTATTAGGAAAATAGCAACAGTGTTATTTGCTAGAAATTGTAACAGATTTTGCTAAAAATTATAGCAACAGTAGAGAAGAAAAAAAACTTTGAAAGAGAGAAAAGCCACTAGATAAGAGAGGTGTGTGGAATCTGGATTTTTTTGATGAATCTACAAGATTTAGCTAGTTTAGCCTACCAAGACAAGAGCTAAGGGCCTATACGTAATCTCAGTAAATATGTCAGGGATAAAGAAAATAATTGCTCATACAAAATAATAATAAAAAATATTTAGAACAAATGAATATAAATGGAGCATGCTGATTTCTAAATAATCAGAACAGCAAGGATCAGGAACAGCTTCTTGCTGCCTATAGGAAATGTTTCTTATTAGGCTGAGAAGACTATCAGGTGCATAAGCTCATCATTGGTCTGAAACAAACTCGTCTAAAGTTTCAGACCATTTACATTCGCTCGAGTTTAATTTCACTAAACTAGCTGAAGACATTTTTTGGGGGAGGGAGTTGTTTGGTTTGCTGGCAATGATTGTGTTTGTGATGGGTTTGTTAAGATAATTTCTCATTATTTCCAGAGGTGCATGGCCATACAGCATACACAAGGTTGTGTATAGTGGTCAGAAGGCCCCTCTACATCATATTACAGCTTTTGTAAGGTGATGATGTGGTGGAGAATCCATCTCTGAGAGAAGGACACTGAACCTGAGGACTCCAGAGGGTTGTGGGGTTTTTTGCTAAAGCTGGGTCTTAAAAAAAAAAAGGGTTGTAACTAAAACTTGGCTTGATTCACCACTAGAAGGTACCTGGAGTTTCTTTCACAAAATATATGGCTTATATTGTATATACAGGACTTTGCTTAAAGTTGATTAAGATATTTTGTGATTCTGTAACTCCTGTCATCTCATATTCTCTCTAAAAATACCTGCTTCCCAAGTCCAAAGATACCTGAGCGCTTGCAGCAACAACAGATGGTCCCTCCTTTTTGTGATAACAATCCCATTAACACAGATGCTCCCTTGAATGATTTAGCTCCACATGGGCAGAAATTAAAACCTTTGAACAGGTAAGAAAACCTGACCAGACAGCTACAAACATTGATCAGAAAGTGATGGCTGCTATATTAGTGATGGATGAAGAGTCAGAGCAGTCACCCACCCGCTTTGAAGATGCTGCCCATTGGTACATTGTGAAAATGGCAGTATCACCAAACTGTTTGCTCTGGGAGACTAGCAAATGAGTGGATACACACACACATACGTGCACATGCAAATGTAACCATTGCAATGTAACGGGTGCCATTAATTATCTAGGTAAGGCACGTATTCGAGTTCCACCTCTGTGGAACTCCTTGACTGGGAATCAGGCCCGAATTGCAGACACCAAAATGCTGTTGTTGAGATGTCCTGGATCTCATTAAGAACAATGGATAGCTGCTCAGTACAGCTAGTGGGTCTGTGGTGGGATTTAAGTCACCGTGAGGTAGAACATGCCTTTGGCCGACTCAATTACTCACTGGACACTGCTTGCAAGTGGAAATCAGTAATTGGACACCTACACGCAGTCTGGACCTGAACTGCACTCCCATCTCAGGACTTTGGATGGGTATCATGCTAACATGCAGTAACATGTGCCCTGTGGGCTCCTCTTCGTGAAGCGGAAGCGCGTGTGATCCTCAGAGTGGAGGCTTCCTCTGTTCGCGCATCACCTGCCCTCTGGCAACACTGGGGCCACAATCTGAACTGGAACCTGGATGTGCCTCTGTGGGATAACCCAGGAGAGCCAACAGGTGCCAGGACTGTGTGGGGCTTTGGACAAAGTTGCTGAATGGCTCTTTGTCTCTCAGAACCTCTTTCTTTTTCAGATAGAGCTGCTGTGGCAGCAGCCACCTGTCAACATCATGCAAGGCAATCTGGAGGTAAAAGGGGTCCTGGAACTCCTCATCCATACATTGAATCCATCCAAATGTCCAAGTCTCAAGAATGGCTCATGCTTTCCTTCGAAGAAGGGGCTTCGAGAGTTTTCCACTCCCCATCGTTCAAAGGAAAAGCATGAGGTGTTTTTTTAACTAATGCTCCAGAGAGCAAGGTTTTATCCATCTAGTCCTTTCAAGGAATGTTGTTACTGGTAGCAGTGATGTTGAAAGCACTTTGGAGTGAAATCCACCTCCATGTTTTACCAGGAAATTTGTGTTGATATGGCAAAGGACAAGGATTTGAAAGACCCTCTTTGGCAGCAGAATTGACTTTGTGAGGAGGAAAGAGCCTTCTGAAGAAAATTAGAAGAGAAAGAAATAATGTAACCTGCTGCTGCAACTCCATGGACTAACGGCAAGAGCTGGAATGTCCAGAATTTACACCCAAAGGTTTCACCACATCACTATCACACACAGTGTTTATTGTGCTGCACTTGCATCACTAAAACTTCTTGTCTGGAAAAACAGTGTTTTCCTTAAAGTTCAGAAAGTATTTGATTAAATAGTATTCTTTCCATCATCAGTGTTTTCTAGCTATAGTGTTAAACAGGTAGCTACAGCAGCAACATATTGCCCATGAAAACATTCTGGAAAAAAGAGAAACAGCCACTGGAGGAAGGGATGAAGCAAACTGTGAAAAGAATGAAAAACCTTTCCACAGCCCAAGGCAATCCATTTGCCAAGAGGGAAATATCTCATCTATAAAGAAGAATAACAAGAGGTTTGCCTGGTCAGTGAGATTTTCTTAATGAACAGAATTGTATCTATCTGAACTATTCTAATATAAAAAAAATAATTCTGAACTTGAGAGAAGGAACAGTCCAGAAGAAAAAAGTATTTTTGTAGAAACCGCTTCTAGATGAAGTACCAAGACCTTTGAAGGTCTGAAACAGAGAAAGCTGGTTCTCCTAGCAATCACAACACCTCTTAATCTTGATTTCTCCTACAGTCCTCTTGAGGCATCTCATTCTTTCTGCCTGTGCTCAGTTACTAGCTGGATATGTTTTATCAGCAAACAAGCTGGATTACTGAGATGAGTTTGGCTTGAGGTCTCACAACCAGGGAGATCATGCAGTGAAGCACTCTGCAACCAAACAGAAACTGAACAGATTGCTCTAAATCTTAATACAATTTCAACAGAAAAATAGAGACAATTTTTTTCTGTCAGTAAACTGCCTCTTTCACATTCTGCAGTATTAGGGGCTGAGTAGCACTACATGAATTTACAGTGTATATATTTAAAACGTTGCACACTTTCACAGAGAAGTTCAACCGACCAAAATTTCAAAGACTAGGAACATAAATTCAAATTAAAATACTTACTATAAAACAGGCCTGATTTTCAAATCAATTCATCCAACACTTCTTCCCAATGAGTTTAGTAGGAGCAACCTATTTAAAAGTTAGGCTACTCTTCTAAAGCAAGCTTTCAGGTAGAGTTAGGATCACAGATTTACTTTTTAAAACCATATGGTCTTGGCTGTATCTGTGCTCAGCTTTAGCTCCATCCCTTGCTTTTTACTGAAGTAACGTAAGATACGGTAGCACTTACATTGGGAGCTGAATCTAAACATATAACCGCAATGGCATAATCAAAGTATGTGTCTAACATTTGGCATTAAGTGTTGTTCATGTCTTCCAGACAGTTTTCCTAGATCAGGAGGGGAGCTAGGGAAGGTAATATAACCCATGGATGGGTGTTCTTCAGAAACAACCAGCATGAAAATGAAGCAAAGCACCAGTTGTGGCTCGTACTCTGACAGGATCCCAGTGGTTCCTTCCAGCTAGCCTCAGCTGACCTTCAATCAACAGTTTCAAACTTTGTGAAACTACATCACTGTAGGTGAACAATGGATCACAGCCACCAGTGAGCCTCAGAGACCCAGCTGCCATAAAGATTGCACTTCTCTAAGTATTGCATCTCTGTTACAGAGTTTTACAAACACTAAGTTTTCCAGCAGCAACGCCACAATCACTAAATACCCTCGGGGCTTTATTTTTTCGCTGGTAAGAGCAAGAAGAATAATATGAGTCATACCAAGTAAAGACATTTTTTTTTCAATTTTATTTTACATCTATCTGTAAGACCTCACTGTAGTAGGAGAACAGATCTAAACTAATGTCAGATTTAACCATTAGTTCTGCGCTCTTAGAGGTGTCTGCAGAAACCCAATGACTATTGTTTTGATGACAATTGAAAGAGTTTGCAGACTTGTGGAAGAAAATTATATAATTTAGTAATTTTCTCTGAGATAATAGTGATGTTCTAACTGAAAAATGTACTCTGATATAATTATCCTACATCTTTATAAGCCTGCCTCAGGAGAACAGTAGAAGAAGAAATCAGAATATTTTTTCAGTACCATATGAGAAAAGGCTCTCAAAGTTTTATTTGTATCACTTGATGCATGTTCAGGAGATTAAAGCCTCATAAAAGCAAAATTATTCCTGATTTGGTCTGATAATCTCTGGGAGCAGGATCCAAAAGAAGTCCTAGTCACAGAAATGAAAGGCAAACTTTGAGGTGAGACTTGCAGATGCACACAGGTGCCCCGTGCCCTGGTACCTGTTGGGGTATCAGCCCCACCTTCCACCTGCAGTTCCCAAGGGACCTGTGGCTCCTGTGTGTTGTCTTCTGCAAGACCATCTCAAATGACATTGGATGCTTCTGTTTAGGCACCTGAGTTTCTTCCTCCATGTCAGAATCAAATTTTTTTTCCTGTCTTGGAAGGGCGGAAGAAACATCTCCTTGTTTCTCCCTGACCTGGGCTGCTGCCTCTCCTCTGCCACTTGTTTTCAAGACCAAATCTTCTTTTGCATGAAAACCAGTCTGAAATTGCTGTGCAGGGCACTCTGCCCCCAGGATAGACTCAGGCTGTGGATCCACGGGGCAGAACAGGACACAACCACCTCTGGTTTTCTTGGGGGTTAGCTGCAGAGGGACTGTGTACAAGGGTGTGTAGCAATAGGACAAGGGACAATGGTTTTAAACTAGAGCAGGGCAGATATAGATTAGGTGTTACGAAGACATTCTTTACTATGAGGGTGGTGAGACACTGGAACATGCACAGTTTACTCAGGCTACTCACCTAAAATATCAGTGATATGTTCTAGGCTAAGTAGCATGGTGAAATGAGCTATACAGAAGCAACAACATCTTTGTTTCAAAGAAGAGACAGTGTATTTGAGGTTTTTAACGGGCTGGCAGCAATCCCAGGGAGAAGAAACTCAGCACAGCCTATTTACTGATATTTCTGCTGTGAATGAAGAATAACTGCCAATGCAGGAGCCCCGCAGAAAGTGCCAGGAGGGTGGGGTCAAGATCAGCGACACCTTTGATGGAGGAGAAATGATTGCTGCTTCAACAGCTGCTCTGAAAGTTAAGTAATGGAAAAGGTATTTGGCAATTAGCTTTTGGCACATTTACTAACCAAATTTTTCTGGCCTTCTAGGCACGTGGTGTGCTATCACTAACACCTCCCCCCGCCTCGCCTCGAGATGAGACAGACTACCTGGGAGTGCGCACATTTCTTGTTGGGATTCTTGTCACAGTGAGTAGGAACAAACTGGTGGGCCCACAAGTTCCACGCCAGTGAAGCTATGCATGGCTGCCTTCCTCCTTTTCCCCCTCTCAATCTCCCGAGGAAGGTCCAGCTGCTGGAGGAAGATTCAAGAGTCGGGGAGCAGCATGAGGAGGAAACAGCAGAGTCAAAATTTTCCTGTATTAGCCTAAAGTTCCCTAGCAGGTCCCCCTCCCATCTTGTCATCCTTCATAGAAATCATTGGAATTGTAATCTTCCTAATGTGCCTAAGTTAGAAGGGACCTTAGAGATCACCTAATCCAACCTCCCTGCCATGGGCGGGGATGGCTCTCAACTAGATCAGGCTACCCAAGGCTCTGTCCAACCTAGCCTTGAACACCTCCAGGGAGGGGGCAGCCGCAATATCTCTGGGCCTCCCTTGTACTGAGGAATTTCTTTCTAAGATCAAATCTGAATCTATTCTCCTTCAACTTAAACCTATTTCCCCTTGTCCTATCAGTGGGCACTCTTGTAAAAAGTCCCATTCCAGCCTTCCTGTAGGTTCCCTTCAGGTATTGGAAGGCATCGGACACATGAGAGCTCATCCCAGTTGCTGTGAAAGAGCCATCCACTCTCTGGCCAGTTCAGTGATTGTGGCATTGGGAAGAGGCAGGACTTGGACAGATGTCACTAGAAGATTTCCTTGGCCATACCCAAAGCACTGGGGAAGAGGGTAGAGCCCTGCCAGTGCCCAGATCAGCAAAATAGCAAAGTTGTGATGGTGGTGTCACACGTCGGTGGGTGCAGGAGCTTGAGGGAAGGTATGTTTGCCAGGGCACGTGGCGGGGGCCTTGCAGCTAGGGCTATCCATCCGTCCTGTCATCATGCCCTGGAGCCATCACACAGGCATGGGGCATTGTCCATCTTCTCATTCCTCACACAGAGGAGATGCATATTGCCATTAGCTGCATTGCATCTGCAAAGGCCCCCAGGGCCTTTCCTGGCTACCGTGAGGGATAGGCAGGCTCAGAATATATTAATAATCAAGAGCTTTTTACTTGTAAAGCAACCTGCTCCCTGCTACAGAGCTGGAGGCACTGTGCAATAAGTCATAATAAACCTAATGAAACAGTATAAATAAGTAACCAGCTTTAATCCTAGGTGTAGAGTTATTGGGTAGATTAGTGAACAAAAAATTAGGTTTTTGTTTTCTCTTTGTTGTTCAAGTTTTGCATGATTCTGGAAGCTGTAAATTTTTGGGGTGAGTCTGTGAAGGCACAGGAGGCATAACGAAGGGTCAGAGAGGTGAGAATACCTCAGGCACCAGAGGAAAAAGGGCAGAGGTGTTTGTCCTTCAGTTTGAGACCTTCTCATCAGGGTGGCGGGGAGCAATACAATGCCAAAGGCTGGTCCTGACACAACCATTCACCCATTTCCAAACCCGCAGCACCTGGAGTCATGGTGGAAAATGATGTAGAGAAATTGTGGACAGAGTTTCAGGTGCCTGCAGTTGCCTCAGCTGGCTGAGTCCTGGGCAGGAATTTCTTTTTTGTTCATGATAAACATCTTCACTCATGGTATAACATGGTTTCACACCAGCTATGACACAGGTTTGGATGATGTCATCACTGATACCCATTGCTCCCCAACCTGTTGAGCCACAAGACGAGAAGCAGGGGACCTGGCTGGTCTCTGCCCAATCCATCAGTGATGAGCAGTGAACCAGAGGTGATGTCCTGCTCTCCTTATCACACCTCCCACCAGAAGAAGCTCATCAAGAAGCTGCAGGCTGAGAACGAATTTCAGGAGGACATTCAGAGTTTTCAGGAAATAATGAAGAGCTTTCAGGAGAAGATCAAGGGCTTCCAGGAAAACATCAAAGATTCCAAGATGGCCATCCAAGCCTCCTGGGAAGAGGAAAAGCCCATCTAGGAGGAAGCTGCCTTTCAGGAGGAAGAAGAGGCCCTTCAGGAGGAAGCAGAAGCCTTCTGGAGGGTGTATCATGACTTCTCGAACAGCTATAATGCTTTCTGGAAGAAGGATAAGGATTTCAGGAAAGATCAGCTCCTCTAGGAGAAAAACAAGATCCTTCTGGATAAGGACCTAGTCCTACAAGCAGAAGAAGCAGCTCTGTGGTCAGAGCTGGGAAGATGAGGAGACCCTCCAGGAAGACTGAAAAATACTCAAGGTGTATGAAATGTTCATCTGGAAGGAGGCCTTTGGTCCCAAGAGAGACAATGTCTCCGGGGATGCCACTCTGCGCAGGGGAGAAGCATAAATTGTTCTGCTAGGCTCAGAAACATGAAGAAAGACACTTATACTGATGTGGATACTTAAGGAGTGCTGTGCTTCAACCAGTTCTCTGAAATAACACCTCTAGTTCTTGGAGTAAATCAGAGTAGGGGATTTTAATGCAATTTGCTCTAAAGTCTGTGTGCTTACGTTTTCAGGACGTTATTTATTCTTCTGAGGCACTGTAGCCTGAGGAATGGGGCAATCCTCCGGTTTCCTGGCCTGTCGCCAGGAGGCATGTGGGTGGGTAAAGCCACAAGAGGATGAGGACTTAATGCCTGAGATCATCTTCTGGAGCTCAGAACAGCTCAGTACAGTTTATATCAGCTGAGTCAGCGCCAAAATAAGGAACTGATAAATGATAACCTTCGGATTCCCTGGATTTGAAGTCATAGTTAACACTCCTGAGTCTTAGTGAGACAACTCATACTGCTCCACCAGCTTTGGGCTTGGGCTTCCCATTTAACTTCCTGCTGCTCTTGGGAGCGTGGTGGGAACATTTACCCGCTCGAGTGAGCCCCAGCACCCACTGTGTGGCTGAGACCAGCTTCGGCATCGGCCTTGCTGACACTGTCAGACGACAGAGAAAGGAGTGGGAGGGCTAACAGAAGCCAGCAGCATGTGATAAAAGATGCAAGCTGGAGGAAAAATTGGCAGCAAGTCCCTCAGCAAGAGGGAAAATAAATTCAGCAGTGTAAGTATATACGTGTGTGTGTGTGTAAGAGCAGGAGAAGGTGCATACAGGGACTGGGATTATTATTCACCTGCTGAGCTCCTATTGCCAGCTCAGGTACAGCAGCCTCTAGTACAAAATCCTCGATAATAGGAGTGCAACACGTGCTCAATATTTAGCAATATTTTATGTGATGTGAGTGCAGAGCCAGAGCTTTCTGCTGAGCTGTGGCACAGGAATTGCAGTTTCCCTTTCCCCTTGAGGAACTGAGCTCAGATGCTTCAAGTTTTCAAAGGCTGAGCTGTAAAGGCTGGTCTGGATGCAAATCTGCATTTGACCGTCTGTACATCCAGGAGCGTAGAAGACAAGAGAAACTATGAGAAAAATTCATCTGAGTCAAACCAGGCATTGAATTTTTCTCTAGTGCTGTAGCATTAGTAACTTGTTCTTCCTCCGATACAGGATTTTAATGCTGAAAAGGCTCAAGGACAAAATGTAAGAAGCTTTTACAATTGCTGTTGAAGAATCTGATGACTTCTGCAACTGTCAGGCATACTTAGGCTGTCACTCAACCTGTCACTCAAGTTCATTCCTTTGTGATCTGCAGTAGAATAAGGCTGCCTATCCTCTTTAATTTTGCTCAAGACAAATTATGCACTATGTCTTTCCTAAAAAATCCATGAATATTTATTGCTCAATGAATAACCAGGCCATAAAAAAAAATAAAAAGGCCAGCTGATTCAACCAGGGGAGGCATGTTTTGCAACCTTTGTTATTATTATTCTATTATTACCATGTAAGCCAGAGATGAAAAGGACCTATTAGACCATTCAGTGCAATTTCCTGCAAATTCAGGACCCTTACGAATTAGAGCTTTATCATTAGATGCTATAGAGAGAAAGAACCTTTCAGAAAATAACAGTATGCAAAAAGCACTTGTAACTTAATATGTTTTAAAGTCAAAAAGCCAAGATTTTATCTTAGTTATTCAAATCCACACGTCAAATTAACATTAATTTAAACTAAAATTAGGTATGCTTTCTCTTACAAAGAACTTAAAGCGCATGAAATGCTCTTAGAAGAGCTCCTAGTCAGTTTTTCTTTCACATGAGAGCAGAAAAATGTTTCTCTGGTGGGAATGTTGTCAGTATAACACAACAATTGTGAAATTTAAGGCATTACACACTGCAGTACAGAGGAGCCAGAAGTTTAGCTGGAGAAATGCATGTGCCAATATGGTGTAAGACTGCTGGTAGCTCCCCTGAAAATACTCCACCTGGTAGCTTCAGACTGGCCCTTGCTTGGGTGCCATTGCTGGAGAGAGGCCAGATGCACAAGGGCTGGATATTTGAAGTGAGAAGTCAGAGGGCACCTGCTCTGCATCCAGCAGCTCTGGGCTGAGGAGGAATTTCAGTCATGAAGCCGGTCTCTGTCAGCTCTCTGGAGTGATAAAATAATGAGGGGAACAAATAAAGTAACTGCTACAAGGAAAAGCTCAGTTATATTTACCACCTCTGCAACATGCAACACGGAGGTTTTGAAACACGAAATTCAGAGTGAAAACATACCTAAATTAACCTCTTTTGGAAGAACAAGTCTGCTGATCTGGCATAGGTGGGCTCTGGGGAAAGAACTGTGCGTGCCTGAAGAACTGAAGATGTTTGAAGCATGGACTTAGCTCAAGTAGAGTGGAAGGAGTCAAAGAAGCTGCCAAGCCTTCCTGTGCCTCAAAAGCAGCCATACCTGTATACACTGTGCAGACAGTTCTCTGAGCTGTTTTGCTTGCTTGTTTAATTCCCAGTTGATCACTTTCTCTCTAGGGCTTTACTTAATTTTTTCATGGTGTCTGAGATGCATCTCCCTAATTGCAGCTTTGACTTCTTATCTGTAATCCCATCCCCAGTGGACCTGTCTGAAGCTGGATATTGTCTTCTCTACCCAAGTATCCCTAGACTAACCCACCCCATCTCCTAACCTCCTTCACTGACCAAATGCTTTAGGTATCTGCAAAGCTTCCATTTTTCCTTTTGGCCCTCCCTCCAAAAGACTGAAAAATCAAGATAATTTGCGGCATCCAGATACAATCCCTGAAGACGCCAATATTCAAGGTCACAGTGGTTGTTTTGCAAAAGTTCAGCCAGGAGTTGTGAAGTTGGGCCCCTCAGACACCCACCATCATTGTTAAACTGCACTGGTGCCAGTGGGTCCTTCTGCAGAGAGATGCCACCGCAATGAGCCCTGTCCTGTGACCTGGAGTGTCTCAGCCTCTTGTGAACAGAGAGAAAACCTAGGACTTAGCAGCAGAACAGACACTGATGTAACTTTAGACCTTAATCAAACTTCCTGTGGTTACTGTTCAAATAAAGAGGAGTTAAAGATAAAAGCAGAACAAACAGTGTCATTTTAGACCAAACACACATAAAACCTAAATACATGGAAACATGGTGAATCTCAACAAGAACCGTATGTTGCACTGTATGTTGGCAGTGCAATTAATTTAAAGTAAATGAGCTGTTTGCACTCAGGAAAGTTTTTGAAGGCTTAGCAAGTCCTGCACAGAGTGATCTGACAGGAGGATATAGAAGTTTGACAGACTTGCTGAGCTGCACACACGTGGAACTCAACTGCTTTCTGGTGCAGGAGATGCACTTCATGCTCTTCTTCTTTTGTAAAAAATATGGAAATAGTATGAAATTTATTACAGAAGATACATGTCAAGGCAGAAGGGTTCCACTTTATACCCACTGAAAGGCAGCCCTGGCCTCAGTCACAAGCCGGTGAAGAAGCTGATATATCTGATATTCATATATAAGAGATTTATGTCGAAGTTTCTGCTCAAGTGACTCACAGAAGGCTATTTTCTACTCAAGGCCAAAACCAAAGTGAAAATTATGTACTGCTGCTTTGTGCCTCTGAAAACACAGAACATCCCAAAGCCCAAAGTGTCTTACAGAGGGGGGATGACAACTCCCACGCCGAGCAATAAAGAAATTGAGTCACTAGTGCCAAATCAGCATAAATATTTGAATGGGAGAAAGAAATAGCTCCTGAGCTCAACTGCACATTTTTAAAATGCAGCATTGTCATCAGAAAGCATTCCTGACGCAGCTGTGGAGCTAACCTGTGGGAGAGGCAGAACATGAAAAACGTAGAAGAGTCATTTAAGTCAACTGACATGTCTCTGCGTTTTGTAAACTGGAATGGTAAGAATGACAGAAGAAAATTAAATTTATTCAGTATATGTATGTGTGTATACGTATGTGTGTGTATACAACTGTAATTTCTAACTCTGTGTGTCAGTCATTGCATAGGAGGAATGTAAAAAAGCTGTGAGGTAAGGCTGTGATTCATGGGGAACTGGAAGTATGGAGAGCATCCAGCCACAAATATAAATCCTGCTGCTCTTCTGCCAGGAAGTCTGGCTGAATTGCTGAAAATTTAGTGCAGAGGGTGCAGCAGAAATTGAAGGAGGAGGTGGAATACCATGGGGAATATCAGATGGGGAATATCAGATGGGGAAAAAACACCCACACTTTAATCCTTTGGAAATTAACATCTAATGTGGGCTAAAGAAGAGAGGAACCACAAAGAAACGCTATTTTTAAAAAATTCTATAATTCTGAAAATCTCCCTGTTCCTCCCTTTCTCTCTCTCTCCTTTTTTTTTTTTTCTTTATTTATTGATTCAACTAGGAGCATGTTCTGCAGAAAGGGAGGGAATTCCAGATTCCTGACATTTGGGGATTTTGGAAAAGGTTTTGGTCCTGATCCAGCAATTCACTCAGTCTGTGTGATTCTCCGAGTACCTGAAAGGTTCCAAAGCCCCATATCATTCTGTATTTAGAAATAAAACTGGGATTCTGCTATCACCATTTCATAGGTGATAGAAGAAGCAAGGGGACCACTCAGAGGGGGAGGTGGTGAATTTGAGCACAAGCATACATGCTTGATGATGTGGGGTTTTATTAAAATAAAAGACTGGTTAGATTTGTACCTGGGATCTTCAAGAAACCATGGTGGCAGCCCTGGAGTTGTAAAGATAAACCCAACTTGTATCTTGGCTCTTCAGGTTTGCAAGACACAAAACAGAACCTGTAAGCAAGCAATCAGCTTCCCTTGGCTGCAGATTGATCTCTTCTGATTTGTGATTTTTGTGTGTGTGTATGCAGACAAATCATAGAATCACTAAG